GTGAAAGAAAAAGCAAAGCTGCAGTTGGATACTGGTGTAATCCATCTCATCCAATCAGAACTGCCATAACGGGAATACCTTGCTCATGCGGGAAGCCTGTAATTAGAGACAGCTGTGCTCGTTTCAATCAGGAGCAAATTGCCCAAGCGGACTATAGTTCCCATGAGGCCGCTCTGCACTTTCACAGCCGAACTGAGCAGGAACACATAGAGCAGAGCCCTTTGGGAATTGTAGTTCTATGGGTCTAACCAGGGCGTAGGCTGAAGAGTATGGGAAAGACTATAAAAGCGGTAGATGGCGTTGCTTTTAGGAATATTTTAGTGCGTGCCCTGGTGAGTTGACTAGGTGAGCTTTTCTCCGTCAGTGGTTAGTGTGGTGTGTTTTGTATTGGTTGTGGTGGTCCGCCAGAGTTTCTGTTTGTTCTGTCTGGTGAAATTGGGTGAGGGTGTAGTTGCTTCGGCTTGTATAGCCCAATCTCCGTGTTACATCTTTTTTGGGTGGGCAGGGCAGTGCTTATGCTTTGGAACTTCTGAGTCTGTACCCAACATTGTCTGTACCTTTGTCCCGCTTCAACTACGAGAAATGGTATAATGCCTACTTAATGGTTTCTAGCCTTTGGAATGCAGGATGGAAAATAGTTCGGGAAACCTGTTAACATGAGTAGGATGCTTTTAAAAACAATAGGTGCTGGAGTTCTATAAGGAGTTTTGCCTTGAAAGCAGTTAGCCATGGCTTCAGTTCAAATATTTGGGTTTATGATAGGGTTGCCACAGCCGCCAGGTGGAGCCTGGAGATCTCCCGCTTTTACAACTAACTAATCTCCAGCTGGCAGAGAAAATGGCTGCTTTGAAGGGTGGACTCTAGGGCATTCTACCATGCTGAGCCCCACCCCCCAAGTCTCCAGGTATTTTCTAACCCAGACCTGGCAACCCTAGTTTATGAGGGGGAAAGTCCAGTTTACCTTGGGGCTTTTTCAACTTTTTTATATCCGTTTTGAGGACTGGCTTCCTTCTCACCTTATCTTTCCCAGGCTTCACATAAAAATCTCCAGGAATTTCTCAACGTGGGGTTGGTAACCTTGGCTGGTAGTTGGTAGCCAAAGTATTATTTTGTGGCTGCTTTCTCATGGGGACTTTTCCTGCCCTGTGGTGGAGCATAACATGCCCTTGCTTTTTTTGGGGGGGGGGCTCCTGAGACTCCCCCCTTTTTCTTCCTTTGCTCTGACTTCAAGGGAGAAAGCGGGTGTGAACAGTTGCAGGCTGGCCCTGTGTGTGAATTGTCTGCCAGCAGCCAGTTCATGGAAGGGAATAGAGCATAATGCTGCCTTCAGAAGGATAGTGCTGAACTCTGCTATTCCTCTTCACTTTAGCAGGTCCTCCCCCCCCCCCACACACAGGTGAGCTGTGAGCAGAGTTGTCAACTCTAGCTTTTGGGGCAGTGGTAGGATTCCCAGCTCTGGGTGGGGAAATACCTGGGGGAAATACCTGGAGATTTGGGGGGGGGGTGGAGCCTTAGGAGGGTGGGGTTTGGGGAGGGGAGGGACTTCAGTAGGGTACAGTGCCATAGAGTCCACCCCCCAAAGCAGCCATTTTCTCCAGAGGAACTGATTGCTATTGCCTGGGGATCAATTGTAATAGCAGGAGATCTCCAGGCCCCACCTGGAGGCTGGCAACCGTAGGTAGTGCCTGGGGAGGGGCTTCCATTTCTCATAGACCTTGGGGTATGCCATAAGAGGTTGTTCTCCAGAGCAGACAGTTTCGCCAGGGGAACTGACCACTGTAGTCTGGAGCTCGGTTGTAATTCTGGGAGGACTCCAGCGCCCACCTGGAGGCTGGCAACTCTGGCCATGAGCTGTGGCTCAACTATTGGAGCTGAGGAAATTGCCAGGTTGGGGTGGGGGCATGACAAGCTTCTTGCTGGGTTGGTGCTTTTGCAATGAGGAAGGAGGTCTGGCACCAGCAGCGTAGAGAGTGGGTGGGTGTGATGCTAGCCCCTGTTTTTTCTCCAGCTTGCTGCTGCTGCTTGCCCAGCTGGGGTGGCTTTTCCTTCTCTTCTCCCTCCCCCCCCCATGTGAAAGCTGTCTGTGTGTTTTCAGGACTTCAGGCAGAGCAGTCTTCTTATCCTATACATATAAAATGAAAGGCAAGCTTTGCTGGTGACAATTCATCCACTCTTCCATTGGCCACTGGGGAAGCTGCCTTGGGGTGTCCTACTGGCCCATTCTGCTGTCTCCTCCATTCTTACACCCCCACTTTTGACACATTGCATCTTGGGAGTTGTATTTCTCAGCTGGTCCTACTGCAACCATGTTGTTGTTGTTCAGTCGCACAGTTGAGTCGGACTCTTCGCGACCCCATGGACCTACTGCAACCATAGCAAATGGTATTAGAACTGCAACTGCCAAGAGGCTGTGGGGCACTAGCAGGAAGTCAGCTAAACTGTTAATCAGTTAAAGCGTTAAACAGGAAGCTGCTTTGGAATTGAAAGGGGTTGGGGGGAAAGGGAAGGCCTGGATCTCTCTCTGAATTACAATTGATCTCCAGACTTAGAGATCAGTCCCCATGGAGAAAATGATTGCTTTGGAGGGTGAGCTCTATGGCATTATACCTCACTGAAGTCCTCCAACAAAACTGGCCCTTCCCTTAGTATTGCCAAACTCCAGATGGCACCTGGACACCTCCAAGATTAGTTTTCCTGGAGAAAATGGCTGCTTTGTGGAGTGGACTCTATGACATTATACCCTGCTGAGGTCCCTCCCCACCCCAAACCTTGCCCTACCCCTCAAATTGACAGGTATGTCTCAACCTGGAGTTGTCAATCCTGTAACTGGCCATGGAACCACTTTCCAGACCCTTGAAACCCAGAAAACATGGCATACGGCTCTCCTCCCATACTACCCACTAGGGGCAGCAGAATGACTCGAGACAACCCTGCCTTATAGCTAAGCAGAGGGAGATAAATATGGCTCGCCTCCCTCTATTTTCCGCTTCCCTCCGCCACCCCACCAGCCACAGCCAGGACACTCACCTGGAGTCTCTTTCTAGAGTCTGTTGTATTTCTTCCCACAATGTGCCGTACTCCTAGTTTCTAATTATGCCTGAACCTCAAAATAGTAACAAAAAGTAGACTGGAGCATGTGCAAAGCGTCAGCCCCTTATTATTGAGTAACCAGGTCTTGATACACACAACTCAGACTTGCACAACTTGCAAGCTTTATTGGCTTGTTCTGGTGCCTGGGGTGCAAAACAAACACCAAATCCCGTCCCTAAGCTCTGCATGTGCTCCTTCATAATGTCAAACCTGCTCTCACATGATATCGCTGGGAATTCTTGAGTATTTTGGAAGCCGAGGAGGTCTGTTCTGAGGCTTCAGCGGATTTGTTAACTTCACCTTTCTCAGATTGTTGTTACTTTCTTTTCTGTATCCCTCTCCCCTCAAAGACTGAAAGTTATTCCTTTCAGGCCGTTCCAGAGAAAAGAAATTCCATGTAACTTCTCTAAATCAAGAGCAGTTAGAACTCTGGCAGGTAAGAAATAGCTTTAAAAAAAAATCTGGTGCTGGAATCATGGCTAGTGACAATCCTTGGGCGAGACTTCGGGAAGAAGCCACTTGCGCCATTTGCTGGAAATACTACACCAATCCGAGCATCCTGGACTGTGGGCACAGCTTCTGTGCAGACTGCATTTCCGAATGCTGGAAGGAGATCCCTGACAACACCGCCTGTCCCCAGTGTCGAACTGCTGTCGAGAGAAAGAACTGCCGCCTGAACACCTGTCTGGCCAATGTAGTTGAGTTAGCCAAGCAGATGCCCAGCTTCGTGAAGGAAGGAGAAGTGCGGAAGGTCTGTGAGAAGCACCCGGAGCCCTCCGGAACTGCCTTCTGTGTGAGAGACCAAATCGTCTTCTGCCAGGTGTGTGAGGGATCCGAGCAGCACAGAGATCACTACCTGGCTTCTGTGAAGGAGACTGCCCAGTTGTATAAGGTAGGTGTAGGGCCTGGTGCCATCTTTTGGACAGTTAAGATGTTAAATAATCCTCCTTAGGAGAAGGAGGCTTCTGTTTTGGGTGGAGTGTTGAAGGGACGAGTGTAACTGTATGTTGGGGGAGCCAGGGTGGGCTGGGAGGCAAAAACAGCCCTGGAAAAGGGCCCCACTCTGATGGGGGGGGGGAGGGAAGAGGAGCAGGCTCCCATCTGTCATGTATGGGGCTTGGGGATCTTGCCCTGTGATAGTAGCGGCAGCTTATACCTGCCCCACACAGGGTGAGGGCCATGAGGTTACCGGAACTTTCCCCAGTAACCTTAATTGCCGGTCTATTGCTACCATTAGGTATGCCGTCATGTGTCAGCCATGCCC